TTCTTTTAAAATATACTCTATATATTGTTTGTAAATAAAATTTTATTCCTTACACTAATGTTTCTTTTAAAATATACTCTATATATTGTTTGTAAATAAAATTTTATTCCTTACACTAATGTTTCTTTTGAAATATACTCTATATATTGTTTGTAAATAAAATTTTATTCCTTACACTAATGTTTCTTTTAAAATATACTCTATATATTGTTTGTAAATAAAATTTTATTCCTTACACTAATGTTTCTTTTAAAATATACTCTATATATTGTTTGTAAATAAAATTTTATTCCTTACACTAATGTTTCTTTTAAAATATACTCTATATATTGTTTGTAAGTAAAATTTTATTCCTTACACTAATGTTTCTTTTAAAATATACTCTATATATTGTTTGTAAATAAAATTTTATTCCTTACACTAATGTTTCTTTTGAAATATACTCTATATATTGTTTGTAAGTAAACTTTTATTCATTACACTAATGTTTCTTTTGATAGAATATCGTGATCATTTTTGTTCAAGTTATTTATTTTGATTTTGTAAAAAAGCAACAATATTACAATTTACAAATTTTAAATTTCTTTGTCAGTTTTATTTCATTATCCTACTTTTAACTTATCCCTCTTTGTTTTAAAGATTATCATTTTTTACTGATTATGTTCATAAATTTACACATCTTTCTAACTTTTTATACATTCTGACGATTTGCTTGTCATCTTAAAACAAATAATTTATTTTTTTTAGCTGTTGAATTAGATAAGTAACTTTGTACAACCACATTTTAAACAATAAAAGAAAGCTGAATTAAGAACTGTCAAGAAATTAGTACCTTATCAGTAATTGTTACATCTTTCAAAGTGACTCTCTGGAACGTTCGACAAGAATCATGAGCGACAAAGAACCTGAAAGTAAGAACCCTCTTTCTCCATCTCTACGGGAACGATCACCAAGTGTTCAACAGAAAAGAACAGCTGAAGTGAAAAGAATTTTGTATTGTCACCTACACGAAAAAAACGGGACCCTTGGTATTGCTTCCAGTACTTTCTATGGACAGCAACAACCATCAGGAAAACTACCACCAATGTCCACTTTTCTCACAGGCGGTAGCTTTAGTTTCGAGTCTGATAGAACTCCAAGTTCAGAAGTAAGTGGTCCTGAGTTTTATTCCTTAGAAGGTGATATGATGATCGGTTCATCAGTTATCACTCAGGATAACCCTGAAACTGTGAACCAATGTTGTGGTGCATTTGATCGTTCAGTCCGGGGAAATTCTCCTTCGATACCGCATAGTTACCATGTCAATCACCACCAAACCGAGAGACTGGTTGAAACCGGATTTAATAATCTTGCTGTAGGATATTTCATGCCATCGTCGTCTGTCTTTAGTTCAGGTAAGACAAAATATATATATACTATATTTACTGTACTAAAATGTAAAAAAACAACAACAAATCAATGAGTCAAATGCTGGTAATTTTTTGGGGTGAAGTATGAAGGGTTAATAACTTTTTATAAGAGCGATTTGCTTATGCTAATTCAGCAGCTAATTCTAAGAAAAGATATTTGTATAGCGAAATAACAGAGGGACACCCAACCTAGGGCAACAAATTTCAAAGTCGAATATATATAAAATAGTGAATACATTGGAAAACGAAGATCAGTACATCTATAGGATAATGTAGAGAGCATAACACCATAAGTAGAACTGAGTGTAGATCAGTACATCCATAGGATAATGTAGAGAGCATAATACCATACGTAGAACTGAGCCAAGATCAGTACATCTGTAGGATAATGTAGACAGTATAATACCATACGTAGAACTGAGTGAAGATCAGTACATCTATAGGATAATGTAGAGAGCATAATACCATACGTAGAACTGAGCGAAGATCAGTACATCTATAAGATGATGTAGACAGCATAATACTATAAGTAGAACTGAGCGAAGATCAGTACATCTATAGGATAATGTAGAGAGCATAATACCATACGTAGAACTGAGGGAAGATCAGTACATCTATAAGATGATGTGGACAGCATAATACTATAAGTAGAACTGAGCGAAGATCAGTACATCTATAAGATGATGTAGACAGCATAATACTATAAGTAGAACTGAGCGAAGATCAGTACATCTATAGGATAATGTAGAGAGCATAATACCATACGTAGAACTGAGGAAGATCAGTACATCTATAAGATGATGTACACAGCATAATACCATACGTAGAACTGAGTGAAGATCAGTACATCTATAAGATGATGTACACAGCATAATACCATACGTAGAACCGAGTGAAGATCAGTACATCTATAAGATAATGTAGACAGCATAACACCATACGTAGAACTGCCGATACCATTGCTCAGTTGTGGATATATCAATCAACTGCATAATTAACAAAGATCGTGCTCTTTTAAGAATCACAAACTACGAGTGAACGAACTGCTTCCCAAACATATTGCAGAGAAAAAAAAACACAATGTAGAAAACTATAGAAAAACACATAAGAGATTTAAGTTTATCGGCGACTTCAATGACTGCAACAAGAAACAGATAATTTACTTCGAGTTATGGCTTGATAAATACTTTTCAACATGAAAATAAAGTTGGTTTAAACATTACAAAGACTACAGTAAATCAAAAGTGAACTCCAGATTCTAATAGGAGAAAGTATTGATGTCAAAATAAGCGAAAGTCTTATGTTGCTAGGACACCAAAAAGATATGGTTGCATTAGAATAAGTGTCAAATCACACTTCTAACTGTCCAGTAACATTTCTACGAGAATCTAACATTTGTACATGCTATTTCCAATGAATACTTGTGAAGTCGTAACACTTAAGGACTTCCTTGCTTTTGGTCTGCTAAAATGTGATCTTGAGTGGAGAGTTTGTTAAGGTCTGACATTTGAAGTCGTAACACTTATGGACTTCCTTGCTTTTGGTCTGCTAAAATGTAATCTTGAGTGGAGAGTTTGTTAAGGTCTGACATTTGAAGTCGTAACACTTATGGACTTCCTTGCTTTTGGTCTGCTAAAATGTAATCTTGAGTGGAGAGTTTGTTAAGGTCTGACATTTGAAGTCGTAACACTTATGGACTTCCTTGTTTTTGATCTGCTAAAATGTGATCTTGAGTGGACATTTTGTTAAGGTCTGACACTTGAAGTCGTAACACTTATGGACTTCCTTGCTTTTGGTCTGCTAAAATGTA